GACATATCAGTGAAAATATTGCTGCATGGAATATATGAGATTTTCCTGTCTGTATTCTCTAGGACTTTTATGGCTTCACAACTTATATTTAAGTCTTTTATCCATCTTGAGTTTATTTTTGTATATGGTGTTCTTCTGATTTTTTAAATAAATTATAGTTGACATTTCTTCACCTGTGACAGGCAGCACAGGATTTTTTCCAGGCTTTGATATTAATATAGCCTTAGCTTTGTAACTTAGGAAATAATTTCTTCTTTGCTGGGTGACTTCATATCTTATGTAGAACAGGGTTACAGGAAAATAATAATACAGATTGATTGAAGCCCCTCTAAAGCAACTGTTACTAATTTTTATCTTATTCATGGAGCTGCAGGTCCATGGAGAGTTCCTTATATGAATGGAGAATTCAGTAGTTTTTCTTGGGTTAGTCTCTATATTAGAAGGGCCTATCAGTCTATTAACATTAATTGGAACTTAAAATTCGTTTTAGTTTTAAATGCATAAGTCTTTTATGAGACACCCAAAGGGTTTTGGTGTTTTGTTTTGTTTTTTGCGGGGGTGGGGGGGCGCTGCTTCCTCCTTGGAACCTACCAGTAGACAACCGAATAAGCTTTATTCTAAGAAGTTTTCTATTTGCTCCAAGGCTGCTAGACGAGATATATATGACATTTCCTGACCTGGTTCAGCTTCTTCAGCTTAGAAAGTGGACCCTTTCTCTGCCAACAGAAACATGTATATTTTCTTTTTTTTTTTTTTTTAGTCCTCACCAAAGGATATATTTATTGGTTTTTAGAGACAGAGAGGAAGCAGTGGAGAGAAAGAAACATCAGTGTGAAAGGAACATCGACTGTTGCTTCCCATACACTCCCTGACCAAGGCCTTTTTGATTTCTACATTTGCCTTTTAAAAAGTAATTGGGGAGAGGGATAGTCCCATGTCATGAGGAAGGGAGATATAGCTATATAGACATATATGTATATATGAGAAATATGTATACAATTTGTATCTCCTATTTCTTCATTTGACATTATTTTGATAATCATAGCACCTTTTTTACAGATCTCCCACTAGCAAAGCTGGCAGCCTTACCAAAAATTAAGCATTTCATTATATTCATAGATGAAAATTCCCCATCTGTAAGTCTTCCTTCAATAAGGATTTAAGGTATTTTTCTAGATATATAATATAATGTCTTGACCAAGTTGTCTGGAACGGCCACTGTATGGTGACAGTATGGGGATAACCCTTGATGCCCAGGTCAAGATATCGCCAGGCCAGGAATAAGAAGTGTATTACCAGAATTGTAATCTGGATTGTGTGCAATGCCAAAAAGGAAAAAAAAATGAAATTAGGAGTACAGAGTAGAAGTTCCAGTCTAGAGCCTAAAATGTTATACAGAAGTGAAGTTTGGAACAGAATGAGCATTTACAGAATCTGGTGTAGGTAGGTTAAGATCCAGGTTGATTCCTTTTGTGACAGAAATGCTTTAGTGCAATATAGGAGATACTCATCTTAACCACAAATCAGGTGCAAAATAGAAGCATTCTTTTAGCTTTCCAAATACCTCTGAAGAGATTAAGATAACTGCAGCTGTTCTAGATTGCGTATGTGGTTAAGCCTTGAGCGTTTTCAGGTCACTGATATTAACTGTTTGGGGTCCTTTGCATGTAGTTTCAGGGGATCATAGAACCACACAATCTCCTTAGTAGTACTGTTGCTGTTTAAGTAAGATAATTTTCAGGTTTGACCCAAAGCTAATAGCACATTAACTAATTTTACATGGAATTGATTAAATAGTACTTAACTCAGAACCAACCATCCAGATAAGGGTTTGTTGTCGATTCTTAGAGCATTGCTATTTTGGGGTAGAGGATGTTAGTAAGAAATGGCTCACTAAGCATTACAACAGTCCCCAACCTTTCTGGCACCAGAGACTGGTATTGTGGAAGACAATTGTTTCACAGGCATGGCAGGGAGGGATGGTTTTAAGATGATTAGGGTGCATTACATTCAAGCTCACCTCTAGCTATGTGGCCCAGGTCCTAACAGGCCTGGACCAGTACCAGTCCATGGCCTGGAGGTTGGGGACCTCTGTATTAGAACATGGACAAGGTGGCATAATAGAGGCTGACGGGCATGACACATTCTTCTAAATACTCAGGACTTTGCAAAGGAAGGTAATGCAGCGCTTCTCTACACCACAGATCTTCATTGGCTTTTAACCTTCACCCATTGCTAGATTTAGTCAAGTTAGTATGAGAAGACAGAAGGAGCAGCAACGAGAACAATTTCTAAGTTGTCACTGATTAAGGTTGGTGGAGCTGAGATTCTCCACACTGGTATTCTACAAAAGGCAGTAAAATCTTGAGTAAAAACAGATCATTCAACCCTGAGAGAAGACAGTATACAAGGTCTGTCTGGAAAAAAATTCCCGCCATTGTTAATATAATGAGAACACTTTATGTGACATTGATGTAACCTGGCAGCCAAGGAAATTGGACCAGAATGTGCATGTGTGAACAATGACAGCATCACTGTACTAGGCAGTGGGGGTGGTAGAGGCCACTGAGTGAGCATGTGTACTGTGTGGCTGTTACATTGAAAATGAGCAAGTAGAGCAACAAATCTGCATCAGATTTTGTGTCAAGGTTGAACCATTCCTTCACGGAAATTATTCAGATGATTCAGAAGGCCACAGCTATGGACAACTGATGAGGGCAGCTTCATCACAACAATGCGACCGCTCATGCATCACCTCTCATGCAGAGTGTTTTGGTGAAATATACCACCCAGGTGATTCAGCCCCCCTACAGCCCAGATTTGGTGGCCTGTGACTTCTGCCTTTTCCCAAAACTAAAATCACCTTTGAAAGGGAAGAGATTTCAGACTGTCAATGAGATTTAGCGACACTAAATGGGGCAGCTGATAGAATTGGGAGAACCGAGTGAGGTCCCAAGGTGCTTACTTGGAAGGGGACTGAGGCATCATTGTCCTATGTACAGTGTTTCTTGTATCTTTTTCCGTAGATGTCTCTATTTTTCATAGTACATGACTAGATACCTTTTGGACAGACCTCATACAGTATTAAACACCAAAAATGAAAACAAATGATCCACATTTGTAACTACTGGTATTGAGCTGGGTTTGGTTTGGGGTTGGGGTTAGGGAAGGGATGTTGTCTTTATCAAATTCATAACTCATGTGGTTAATAAGCCAAATGATTATACAAACTTTGTTATGAAAATTGGCAATCCCGGGCATTCATCTCCATGATATATCCTATTTTTTTCTTAAGGATTTTAGGATGTTTATGTCCATATTTTAGATAACAGTATTACTATTGCTACTACTTCTTACATGTTGGCATCCCACTTACAAAAGAGAATATAGCTCCCCACCACCACTGTTACACACGTTTCCTAGTTCCCAAATTTCCCGTGTAACTTCCCATATCATGTCTTTGGATCTTTCTTCAGATTAATCTGATTCTTCAGAGAAGGTTCTTCGATGTAAACCTTTGGTCTTCTAAGTTAGAATATCTAGGGAACTGAATTCTAAAATTAATTTTAACCAGTGCTTATTTTAGCCTAGTGAGGAGACTTATTTTTTATTTTGTAATCCTCTGTGTCATTTGGAATTTTTTATACCATGTCTTATAATACTTCTGTAATTGTAATGTTATTTTTTAATGTAGCAAATCTTAAAACTACAGCTTGATTAATTATTTGAATGTAGTGCTTATGTTATCACCATTTACAGTTTTCCTTTGGCTCCAGTTTATCTGTTTTTTAATAAATAGTTTATTGATTATGCTATTACAGTTTTCTTCCCTTTACACCCCTCCATCAATATCCCCAATTCTTTCCATCAATTCCCCCTTTGTAGTTTATGTCCATGTGTCATGCATATAAGTTCTTTGGCTACTTTCTTTCTTATACTGTTCCTAACATCTCCCTGTCTGTTCTATACTTACAAATTTGTACTTTTTAATCTCTGCACCTTTTCCCCTCTTCTCCCTGATAACCCTCCAAATGATCTCCGTATCTGTGGTTCTGTTTCTGTTCTGCTTGTTTGCTTAGTTCCTTTTTTAGATTCAGTTGTTGACAGCTGTGAATTTGTTGCCATTTTAATGTTCATAGTTTTGATCTATTTTTCCTGTATAGTTCCCTTTAACATTTCATATAATAAGGGCTTGGTGATGGTGAACTCATTTAGCTTTACCTTATCTTGGAAGTGCTTTATCTGCCCTTCCATTCTAAATGATAGCTTTACTGGAAAAGTAATCTAGGTTATAGGTTCTTGCTTTTCATCACTTTGAATACTTCTTTCCAACCCCTTCTAGCCTGCAAAGTTTCTTTTGAGAAATCAGCTGATAGTCTTAAGGGAACTCTTGTAGGTGACTCTCTTCTTTTCTCTTGCTGCTTTTAAGATCCTTTAATTATGATGTGTCTTGGGATGGTCCTCTTTGTGTCCATCTTGTTTGGGACTGTGTGCTTTCTGGGCTTGTATGTGTATTTCCTTCACACACTAGGGAAATTTTCTTTCATTATCTTTTCAAATAAGTTTTCAATTTCTTGCTATTCTCTACTCCTTCCAACACCCCTATGATTCGAATGTTGGTACATTTGAGGGTGTCCCAGAGTCCCCTTAGCCTATCTTTGTTTGTTTGTTTGTTTGTGTTTTCTTCTCTCTCGCTGTTCTGATTGAATGGGGTTTTTGTCCTTATGTTCCAAATTGTTGATTTGATTCTCAGCCTCATATACTCCACTGTTGGTTCCCTGTAGATTTTTATTTCACTTAGTGTAACCTTTACATTATTGAATTACCAGTGAATTCCTTGAGCATTCTAATAACCAGTGTTTTGAACTCTGCATCTTATAGATTGCTTATCTCCCTTTCGTTTAGTTCTTTTTCTGAAGTTTTGTTCTGTTCTTTTGTGTGGGCCATATTTATTTGTCTCTTACTTTAACAGCCTCCCTGTGTTTGTTTCTATGTATTAGGTAGAGCTGCTCTGATTCCCTGCCTTAGTAGCGTGGCCTGTTGTAGAAAAGCACATGGGTAAGTTGGATGGGGCACTGCCTTAGGTAATCCCCAGGGTGGGGGAACCCGTGTAAACCAGGTTGATGGAGTTTTCGATATGGTGTCACTGCTCTGTGACTCTGTTTGGGGGAGGGCTCAGAAAGGAGACAGTGCCACCTCCTCACTCTAGAGTTTTGTCCAGGAGGAAGCTTTCCTCAGGCACTTGCCCTGAGGCCATACATTTCAGTTTCTCCTCATATGCCACTGGTGCTTTTCTAGCTGCTGCCCTGGTGCTTAAGCCCAGGGGGAGTGAATCTGAATTAAGTCCTAAATCCATTGTAGGACCTTTAAAAGGAGACTCCTGAGAATCCTGCATTTTCTTTCTCCTCCCCAACCCCCATTAGTTTTTATGTTCAGACATTATGGGGACTTATTTTCCTGGGACTGGAACCCTGGGCTGATGTTTTTGGTGTGGGCCTGAGGTTCCTTGCTCCCTAGGTATTCCTTCCAATTTTTACCCACCTTATGTAGGTATTCTGTGTCTCCCCATCTCTCTGACCCTCCTACCTGTCTAGATGAACATGACTTCTTTAATTCTTTGGTTGTTGGACTTCCATACTGCTTGGTTTGTGACAGTTCTGATGATAGTTGTTTTGTAGTTTAGTTGTAATTTTTGCTGTGGTTGTGCAAGGAGGTGAGGCATGTTTACCTACTCTGCCATCTTGACCCTCCAGTTTATCTTGTAGCATATATTTAATTGCCTGAGAACAAAAGCTTTGCTGTTGTTTGGTAGTTTTTATTTTATTGGAACAGCGTATTAACTACTTGCTAAGGAATGGCTGATTGGATAATTGTTTATATGTAGTGTTGATCTGGTTTATAACTCTTAGAAAGTCAAACCAGGATACCAATAATAATACGAGCCATCTTTTTGAAGAAATTTCATCATTTATAGTCATCAATAAGTTTCTAAAACTTATGTTTACTTTGATTAGATTATATCAGAGGTTTTTGGCACACATAAACTCATTACTAAAATTCTCTGGCACACCAGAAAAGTATGTTTTGCCAACCTGACCCCCCAAAAAAGCAGGTATAGCCCTGGGTTGTGTGACTCAGTGGATTGAATTTGGTTCCCAGTCACGGCACATGCCTGAGTGGGGGTCCTGGGTCCCAGTTGGGGGCGTGCAAGAGGCAGCCTATCAATGTGCCTCTTGCACATTGATGTTTCTCTTCCTTTCTCCCTCCTTTCCCCCTCTCTAAAAAAAATAAATAAAATCTTTTTAAAAATAGGTATAATTGATTCCTTCCCACTGGACCTTTATTGTCATATTGACTGTTTTCTTTTTCCTTTCCCTTTCCTTCCTTCCTCCCTCCCTCCCTTCCTAAAAAAGAAAGGGAGACAAACATCATTGTGACAGAGAAACATGGATCAGTTGTTTCTCATAAGCACCCTGATTAGGGACCAAACCTGCAACCCAGGCATGTGCCCTAACCAGTGACGTTTCACTTTGCAGGACTGCATTCAACCAACTGAACCACACAGGTCTCAGGGTACATGGGGGGGGGGTGGGGGGGAGGGTTTTGTTGTTGTTTGTTTCTCTTTGTTTTTGATAATTTAAAGGAAAAAAGGTCAGTTCCCCTTAGATATTATGTGTTTCAAAAATTCTTGCAATATACCAATGTGCTGCTGCAAACCCGTTGAAAATCAATGGATTATATTGTGCTGTAGATGGTTCTGCATCTGTGAATTCAACCAAGCAGGGATTGAAAATAATCCAAAAAATACCAGTGTTGCTAAAGGGCACTGTATAGTTAGGCCTACAATGCATCTACACCGAACATGTACATATATTTTTTCCCTTGTCATTATTTCCTAAGCAATACGATGAGACAGTATTTACCCAGCATTTATATTGTATTAGGTGTTATAAGTAATCTAGAGGTGATTTAAAGTATACGGGAGGATGTGCAGAGGTTATATGCAAATACAGTGCCATTTTATACAAGAGAATTCAGCTTCTGCAAATTGTCCCAGAACCAATCCCCCTTAGATAGGAAGGGATGATTTCACGTGGTATGGAATGTATTGAATAAGTGTTCATCTGAAAAACTTCTCAGAAGCAGACTTACCTATAAACGAGAAGGGAATAATGTGTATTTGTGGAATGTCTCTACCAATGTACTGTGACAGCTTTTCTGTGAACTTTGAGGATAAGCATGGATTGGAAAGTCTTCCCTCATAAGCACCAAAAACTCATCTGGGTTGGCTGTGTGTCCGTGTTTTAGCTTACACTCAGCAGCATGTAGAGGTGTGACTTTGAATGCTGAGCTAATTGCATTTTTCCAGTCACCAAAAGCTTGAAGGGAATCTATGGTATTAGCATATGCAAAAATTGACAACCTGTCCTTCTGCTTGATCTAGAAGACTTGATTCACTTGTTAGGGCATTGGTTAAGTGGATCATCAGGATTCTTGTTAAGTGTTTAGAATACTATATGGGCTGTGTTTCAAAATTAGTTGACTGATAGTCACAAATGTTTTTACATTTTCTTATGGTTTACTTGCAACTCTGGTTTACAGGGAACCTTTCAAGAACCATTGAATCCCTTTGACCATGCATTAGAATGTGTAGATAGTTGATTAGAGTTGCTCCTTTTTAATAAAATGGCTTTTACCTTAGAATTGGGTTAGCTGTTGTAGTATTTTTGTCCAATTAGCATTCTTCTAAAGCATTGTAGGGTAGGCAATCTCATTTCGTCCTGTGTGGTATACAGTGTTGAACAGGATTATGTATAAAAATTGACTGTATTTACTTCGATGGGAAGGCCAGTAAGGCTCCAGCATTTTAAGCTAGTAAGGATAGGAAATATGTAAGCTCTGGTCCTATATTGCCTAGGTTTGAAAGGTTCTAGTGTAGCACTGCTTAATAAGACTTTCTGCAACAATTGAAATGTTCGTCTGCACTGTGCAATTTGGTATCCACTAGTCATATGTGGCTAGTTGTCTAGGACCCAAATTATGTAATTTCATTTAAATTTTAATAGCCATATGCAGTTAGGGTCTCCTATATTAGACAGTGCAGTAAGTGTTTAAAAACTGAGGGAAATGTAAGTATAGAAATGGCCACATTGCCCTGACAAGGTAGCTCAGTTGGTTAGAGTGTTATCCCAGGCATGCCAAGGTTACAGGTTCTGTCCCTGTTCAGGGCATATACAAGAAGCAACCAATGAAGCATAAATAAATGGAACAACAAATCAATGTCTGTCTCTGTGTCTCTGTCCCTCTCTCTCTCTCAAATCAATACATTTTTAAAAATTGACTTATTTAAAAAAAGAAAGAAATGGCTACATTGACCATGTAGAATTTCCGATCCAAATTGGTTTGCTTGACATAGCTTACAAAAAGTAGTTTTTACTAAAAAACACTTTGTAACACTAGGGTTGAAACTTTTTTTTGATGTGTCTAGTAGATGCTTGTGTAGCATTTCTAGAATCTTAGTGGTATTTAAAAAATTGTATCTCTACCTTAAAAAGTAACTAACAGAATTCCTTTTCAGGGAAGAAATGTTCCCTGACCTGTGTGGCTCAGTTGGCTGGGCCCCCTTTGGATAAGGGAAAATGCCATGGTTGGTTGGATTCAGGTCCAGGAGCCTACTGATGTGTCTCTCCCACATTTTCTCCTTCCCTTCACCTCCCTCTAAAAATAAATAAAGACTTCTTTTTTTAAAGAGTGGTTTTGCCAAAATTTCTCCCTTCAGTTGGAATTTTTTTAAATAATGGTATTTTAATTTTTTCTTAAGTCTTTAAGTTTCCATTCCCATATAGCATAGATAATGCAGTCTGTGTCTTCAGAGCTTAATTTTCCTAACAAAGCCTGTCAATCTTGTCCTGTTATCTTTCAGACAGTGGAGTGCTTCTGCTGCTGATTTCTATAATAGTCTAAAAGAGGAAAAAGATACAGTCTACCTCAAAGAAAAAAAGAGTTTCACAAAGCTGTATTTCTATGTAACACATACATTAATAAGGTAGAAAATGTGTTAAAACAACATTGTATTAAAAACCTAGTTTCTAAGTAACACTTAGCAGAAATCTTGGTCATTATAAATATTTGGATGTTCCATCTTGACTGAAAAAACATGTTACCAAACTTCTTATAAGGTGAATATTTAGTTTCTCTGTGTGCACTGACCCTGCTACATTCATGTTTCCTGCTTAGCACGGTACTTTGGTAAATGCTGCCTCAGATCACATGCATACCTGATTTTGTGATGGCAGTGCCCGACTTGCTCGGTGCTCTCAGAGGGTACTGGGAAGTGTCTGATTTTCCTTGCTTTGGTACTGACATATCCCCAGGCTACAGAGCTTGTTATATAACTGACCACCTTTGTATAGTAGTAGTATAATGGTTTCTTTTGGGCCATTCTTTTGGGATATGTTAGGCTCCTGTCCCCTTTGTACAGAACTGACCCAAAATCTGATTTCTTTTTATGCCTTTTCATAGTTGAGTATCTTCTCTGCTGTTAATTCTGACTTTAGTTCATTCTGATCTTTGCTATCTCTTGCTGTCAGTAAACATCCACCTCACTTTCCATTTCTGGTGCTATAAATCTAATTTAATTTTTATAACCAAAAATAAGTGTTAAAAATGGGTTTGTGTGGTTTTTATATTATTTTTTTCTCTTTTTTGTTTTTTTCCCTTTGTTCTTTACATGTATGTTTTTATAGTAGCAAATGGACCAGTCTTTACATTTTGTGCGGTCTTCCCAGTTTTAATCATTTTTTTTGTCTTTAAATGCTCAGAGATTTGTTTATAACTTAAAAAAATAATCTCTGGAAGGTGTTGCAGAATCATTTGAGACCTCTAGAAACCTGATTTCTAAATAAATGAACCTATAACTAACTGGACCTAGTTGCAGATTCCCTAGGTGACATGATAAATTCTGACATTCTACAGTACAGAAAGTGTAATATTATTTCTCCAGATTTATTCATGAATGAAGTCAAATTCAAAATAATTCACCTGGACTTTAGAATATA